TGAGGATGATGAGGGGGCTGCTGCTGCTGCTGCTGCTGCTGCTGCTGCTGCTGAGGATGATGAGGGTGATGAGGGGGCTGCTGCTGCTGCTGCTGAGGATGATGAGGGGGCTGCTGCTGCTGCTGCTGAGGATGATGAGGGGGCTGCTGCTGCTGCTGCTGCTGAGGATGATGAGGATGATGAGAGGGCTGCTGCTGCTGGGGCTCCTGCTGATGGTGGTGCTGCTGATGCTGCGAGGGCTGCTGCTGCTGCTGCTGATGATGGTGCTGCTGCGAGGGCTGCTGCTGGTGCTGCTGTGAGGGCTGCTGCTGCTGGGGTGCTGCTGGTTCAAGGGCTGCTGTTGGTGCTGGTGAGAGGGCTGTTCCTGCTGCTGGTTCGAGGCTTTTGCTGCTGCTGCTGGTGCTGCTGATGCTGCTGCTGCGGGCAGTGTCACTGCTGCTGCTTTCGCTGCTGCTGCTGCTGCTGCTGCTGCAATTAATGGAAATGCTTCCATTTTTCCAGTTAATTTCCCCCACAGCGGGCGTAGGAGCCCTTTGGCCAGCTGCTGCCTTGCAGCTACCGGCAACTAGCACCAGCAGCAGCTGCCGCTGCCGCTGCTGCTGCTGCTGCTGCTGCTGCGCAGAAGCTGCTGCTGCTGCTGCTGCTGCTGCGGTGTGGGCTGCAGGTGTTTCTGCGAGTGAGCCAGGCGGAGCGGCAAACAGTGCTGTGCGACATGTGCTGCCAGCGGGTTCGATTCCCGCTGCTGGTGCCTTGCCGTTTGCTGCACCTCCTTTGTTCTTCTTGCCTCTTCCCCGGATTCCTCGCAGACGCCGTCAGCCCCAACCTGCTGCTGCTGCTGCTGCTGCTGCTGCTGCTGCTGCTGCGGTGCTGCTGGTGCTGGTAGTGCGGCTGTTGTGCTGCTGCTGCTGCTGCTGCTGCTGTTTTGGGTGTCGCGCTGCTGCTGCTGCTGCTGCTGCTGCTGCTGCTGCTGTGCCGCTGGTGGCGGTGAGCGTGCCCGGGCGGCAGCTGTGCAGCTGCTGCTGCAACTGTTGCAGCAGCAGCAGCAGCTGCCGTGTTTGGCTCTGCTGCGCGCATTTGGGTGCGACAGCTCCCGCTGCTGCTGCTGCTGCCGCTCCCACCGCTGCTGCTGCTGCTGGTACCCGTTTGCATGCGCGCTTGCTGCTGCTGCTGCTGCTGCTGCTGCTGCTGCAGTTTTGCTGCCGGCCGGCCATCACGGGCTGCCCGCTCTGCTGGCCCTGGTGCCCCTTAAATGGAGACTTTATGGACCGGCTGCAGCCCCCAGTAGAACACACAACTCATTTTGACTGGCCCTATTCTGCTGCTAAGGGTCGGCTGCAGCAGCAGCGCGCGCTGGCCCGCACGGAGCTGTCGTTTGCTGCTGCTGCGCCCCCGCAGCAGCCGCAGCAGCAGCTCCGCGCAGCAGCAGCAGCAGCAGCTGCTGCCGCCAGCAGCAACCAGGTGATGCTGCGCTCGCCCTGCGTCTGGCCAGTGCCCCCGCAGCTGCCGCTGCGGCCCCGCGACCCTGCAGCAGCAGCAGCAGCCGCGCAGCTGCTGTCGCCTCCCCAGCAGCAGCAGCAGCAGCAGCAGCAGCAGCAGCAGCAGCAGCTGGGGTGGAGGCGACCGCGGGCGAACTGCAGCCGCCACGCGAACTTCACTCCTTCTGTCTTTACACCTGAAGCCTTTCGTGCTGCTGCTTGCTGCCCCACACTTTGGGTGTCTCCGGAGCTGCTGCAGGAAGCAGAAAAAATGGTGGAGGCCTGGCACCCCAGGCCCCAGAGGCCGGGTGCGCAGCAGCAAACTGCTGCTGCTGCTGCTGCTGCTGCTGCTGCTGATGCGGATGCTGCTGCTGCAGTGGCGCGGACAGGGGAAGCACCAGCAGCAGCAAAGGCTGCTGCAGCTCCAGGCGGGGCTGGTGGTGCAGAAAGCAAAGCAGCAGCAGCGGAAGCAGCAGCGATAGCAGCAACAGCGACAGCAGCAGCAGCAGCAGCAACTGCAACGGCAGCAGCAGCAGCAGCAGCAGGAGGGCTCAAAAGCGCCAAGGAAGAGCCCACCTCGGCTGATGCTGCTGCCACCCCAGATGGTGCAGCAGTGCCGCAGCCGTCTTCAGGGGCAGCAGCAGCAGCAGAAGCAAGATCAAAAACAGCAGCAGCAGCAGCAGCAGCAGCAACAACAGCAACACCGTCTTCCGCAGCCTCTTTTGCTGCGTTTAGAAACAGCTGGAGCAGCACAAATTTGTCTCCAAGTGTCTCCACTCCAAATTCCTCGATTTACCCCTGGGCAGCTGACAGCAGCAGCAGCAGCAGCAGCAGCAGCAGCAGCGCAGGCAAGGCGCGAGTTGCCCCAACTTTCTTCCTGCGCAGCAGCAGCAGCAGCAGCAGCAGCAGGCTGGGGTCTCTGCAGCAGCAGCAGCAGCGGCGGATGCTGGACGAGGAGACAGCAATGGATTTAATTGAGGTGGACAATGTGGAGACATTTGTGGGCTGCGACTTCAAAGGGTCTGCTGCTGCTGCTGCTGCTGCTGCTGCTGCTGGGAGGTACGGCGTGTCTGCTGCTGCTGCTGCAGCGGGAGCGCGCGCTGCAGCGGGCGCCGGGGCGTGGGGCTTTGCTGCCGGCAGCTCCGCAGCAGCCCCGCCCCCCGCAGCAGCAGCAGCAGCAGCAGCAGCAGCAGCAGCAGCAGCAGCAAGAGGCGACAAGCTGGCCTCGCTGCTGGTGGACCAGGAAGACCAGAGCTTCCTCCGCTCCAGCAAATATGCTGCTGTTGCTCGCCGCATTTTGGCAATAATAGAAAGCGGCCGTTTCGGCCAAAATAATGTTCCTTGGGAGCAGCTCCACGATCCCGATCCCGATCCCGATCCCGATCCCAGGCCCCCCCCGCAGCCCACAGCTGAGGCCGCCTCCCCAGGTGAGGCGGACGCATGCATGCGTGCATGCTTGCATGCTTGCATGCATGCATGCATGCATGCACGTGCATGCATGCACGTGCATGCATGCAGTTGTGCATGCGTTTTGGGGCTGTCTGCGTGTGCTGCTGTCTTGGCAGGAGCTGCTGCTGCTGCTGCTGCTCCGAGCCGTCGCGTCCGCTTTGCTGCGCCCGACGAGGCCCCTGCGGCTGCCCCCAGCCAGCAGCAGCAGCAGCAGCAGCAGCAGCAGCAGCAGGGGCTGCGGCCGGCGCTGAAGAACAGTGTGGGGCCCCGGAGGCGGCGCTGCGAAAAGGTTATTGTTGCTGCTTCCTTTTGGGAGTCTCTTTTTCTCTTGGGACAATTTTTAGAAAGACAAAATGTCCGCTGCGGCTACTTCACCGAACGGGTGGGCCATTCAGCCCAAGTGCATGCAAACGCATGCAAACGCATGCAAATGCATGCAGATGCATGCAAACGCATGCAAATGCATGCAAGTGCAGGCAAACGCATGCAAATGCATGCAAACGCATGCAAATGCATGCTAATGCATGCAAATGCATGCAAATGCGTGCAAGTGCATGCATGTGCATGCAAACGCATGCAAATGCATGCAAATGCATGCAAATGCATGCAAATGCGTGCGAGTGCATGCATGTGCATGCAAACGCATGCAAATGCATGCAAATGCATGCAAATGCATGCAAATGCATGCAAATGCATGCAAATGCATGCAAATGCGTGAAAATGCATTGGAAGGCATGCTAATGCATGCTAATGCATGCTAATGCATGCTAGTGCACGCTAATGCATGCAAATGCATGCGATGCATGCAAATGCATGCAAATGCATGCAAATGCATGCAAATGCAAATGCATGCGAGTGCATTTGTTTGCATGCATGCGATGGGTGGTCCGGTGTTTTTGAGCAGTGTCTGTACACCGCACGCATGCGCATTTGTGTTTTTGTGTTTTTGCTGCATGCAGAAAATTGCATATTTTTTATTCTTCCGATATTCTATCAAAATGAGCTTTATTTATTCACATTTTTGTTTATTTTTGTTTATTTTTGTTTATTTTTGTTTATTTTTGTTTATTTATATCTATTTTCGTTTATTTGAATGTCTTTTAATGCATGCTGCGGGCTGCATGCAGCTGACTGGGCCAAGTGGTGCTGTTGGGCTAATGGGCTATTAAATGTTTGCAATGGGTCTTTTCTTATCATATTTATTTATATTTATGTTTGTTTACTTTAATATATATATGTGTATATATATATATATATATATATATATATATATATATATATATATATATATATATTTTTTGCATGCATACATACAATAAATATTTCCTGAGTCGCATGCATTGCATGCACAAGCACATGAACATGTTCTTACACATTCCTAGTTACTTATGCATATGCATTAAATATATATACATACACATTAGCATATAGTTGTCGATTTACATCTATTTCAGATTGCAATCTCGAATTTTCCCTGCCGCTGCTGCTGCTGCTGCTGCTGCTGCTGCTGCTGCTGCTGCTGCTGCAGACGGAACGGAAGCTGGCGGTTGCTGCGCTGCGCAGCTTCGTGGAAGGAGATGAAACTCAAGTTTTGCTGCTGTCGCTTTCTGTGGGGGCCCACGGGCTGGACTTGAGCTGCGCCTCCCACGTGTTGGTCCTCGATCCCCCCACAGACCCCAATCTGCAGCAGCAGGCGAGCTGCTGCTGCTGCTGCTGCTGCTGCTGCTGCTGCTGCTGCTGAGGGTGCTGCTGCTGATGCTGCGAACTACCCGGTTTCCGCTCGCTGCTTGCACGGCGGCTGCTGCTGCTGGTGGCGCTGCTGCTGCAGATGTATAGCCTTGAGTCGTCCGCCCCTAAGTGCTGCTGCTGCTGCTGCTGCTGGCTGCTGGCTGCTGCTGCTGCTGCTGCTGCTGTGCTGGTGCTGCTGCTGCTGCTGCTGCTGCTTGTCTGTCGCCTGGGCGCAGCGAGCGCGAGTGCCGGTCACGCGTTTGTTCGTCTCTTAAAGCAGCAGCTGCTGCCGGTGCCGCCATGGGTCTTTGAGCCTGCTTTCGCTGCTGCTGCTGCCGCTGCTGCTGCTGCTGCTGCTGCTGCTGCTGCTGCTGCTGCTGCTGCTGCTGCAGGTGGTGGCGAGGGCGCACCGGATGGGGGCCCTGCGTCCAGTTCACGTGGAGATATTTGTGCAGCGGGGCTCCATTGAAGAAACCATTTTGCTGCGGAGAGAAGAATGGGCCCAAATCGAAGCTGGGGGGCCCCCCTTGGAGGGGCCCCCGTTGCTGCAGCAGCAGCAGGTGAGCTGGCTGCGGTGTACGTACACCCCAGCGCCCCACAGAGCTGCGCATTCTTTTGTCTTTTTTGCGCCATTTCCTTTTTATTGCTTTTTGTTTTGTTTCCTTTTTATTGTCTTTTTTCTGTTATTTCTTTTTTGTTTTCTTTTTAATTTTTTCCTGTTTATTGTCTTCTTTGTACTTCCCCCTCTTTGTTGTCTTCTTTTTAATGCTTCTTTTTTGTTGTTTCCTTTCCGTTTATTCTTTTTTGTTTTCTTCTTTTTATTTTCTCCTTTTGTTTTCCTCTTTGTGTCTAAATATCTTTTATGTTTTTGCATTTGCATGCAATAATGCATGCAAGCATTTTGCATTAAAAGTATAAATAAGTCCACTTAAGTAAATCAAATGAAAACTAGAAAACAAATATATACCCTTAAATACCTATTTAAATCCAAATCCAATTATATGTTTTTATTTATTTGTGCACTTAAATACAACAATTAAATCCAAACTTAATTTAATTTTTTTATTTAAACAAATAAAAATATTAAGTTAAATTTAGTTTTAATTGTTCTGTTCTTTTTGTCATTAGGACTCCGCCCAAGGAAGTTTCCCAGCAGCAAATGCCTTAAGTTTCCGCTCGGGCTCCAATACCCCTGTGGGGGGCCCCCTGGGGGCCCCCCTGGGGGCCTCCCGAGGGGCCTCCCGGGGGGCCCCCGGGGGCCCCAGCGGGGGCAGGGGCCCCCGGAGGCCCCGGGACAAACCCACTGGAGAGTACTTGAGGCATGGGAGGGGCAAGCAAGACTCGTGGAAGAAAGGAGAAGATGGAGGTAAGGAGGGTTTAGGGTTTAGGGTTTAGGGTTTAGGGTTTAGGGTTTAGGGGGCCACTCAGGTACTGCGTAGGGTCAAGGGCTTTTGTGCCAAAGCTAGCTGCATGCGCTGCCCTGCGACATTGAGTGTCCAGGGTCTAGGATTTAGGGTTTAGGGTTTAGGGTTTAGGGTTTGGGGTCTAGGGTTTAGGCCTAATAAGTTACTTGGGATATCCCACACCCAGAAAGCCCCCAAACCCTCCAGCCCCAAGCCCTAGAACGCGCCTGTGCATGCGCATGCATGCGCATGCAGGCCCAGGGGGCCCCAAGGGTCCAGGGGGCCCCGAGACTCCCGGGGGCCCCGAGGGCTCCGGGGGCCCCGGGGGCCCCGAGGGCCCCGGGGGCCTCGGGAGCCCTGGGGCCCCGGGGGGCCCCGGGGGCCCCGGGGGCCCCGGGGGCCCCGGGGGCCCCGGGGGGCCCCCCGAAAGCCCCCGAGAGGCGTGGCTGCCTGTGGGGGCCCCCAAGGAAACGAAACTGCGATTAATGCCTCAGCCATCTTGGGGCTGTTTGCTGGCGGAGGCGAAGGGGAGAAGAGATGCTTTTCAGCAGTCGACGGAAACCCTTTTGAGGTCGCTGAAATTCGTCCCCTAAACCCTAAACCCTAGCCTAAACCCTAAACCCTAAACCCTAGCCTAAACCCTAGCCTTAACCCTAAACCCGACCTCTACGGAGAATATCCTTTGTTGTACTTTGTTGTTGGACCTGCCCGAACGAACCTGGGAAAGGGTTATTTTAGACGTAAACAGAGTGAAAAGGGTTTAGGGTTTAGGGTTTAGGGTTTAGGGTTTAGGGTTTGGAAGCAGCACTGAAGGCGCTCCGGCGCACAGGATGGTAGGAACGAGCGGAGGCCTGCAGAGCGTTGAAGAGTTTAGGGTTTAGGGTTTAGGGTTTAGGGTTTAATAAGTGGAAAGTAGGAGGCTGATGCTTGGGAGAAAAGAGGCAAAGAGAAGGATAGACCGTAGACAGGAATAAACACAACAACCCCACCGGACCAGTGGACCTCTGCTGTTTGCTGCAGTGGTTTCTGCTGCTGCAAACTTCATTATTTCGTCTTTTTGATAATTTATAATTCAAAAAATTGAACTAAAATGAATAATTGAACAAAAAGGAGCAATAAAAGAAGCAACAGGGGTTTGCGAGGCCCCTTGGGGGCCCCCCCGGGGGGCCCCAGGGGGTGTAGGGGGGCCCCTAGGGGGCCCCCCTGGCCTCCTGCTGCTCTTGGGTTTCACTATTCTTTTTCATTTATCTTTTTGTTTTATTTAAAAACATTTTGTGAACAAAATTGCCTGCGAGGCGGCCTGCGGTTAGCGGGGGTGCTGGGGTGTACATACACCTCAGCTTGCCACAGCCACCCAACGCACCAGGGGCCCCTGGGGGCCCCCAGGGGCCCCCGGGGGCCCCCAGAGCTTTCTTAAAGGGGGCCCCCCATGCTTATTCCTGCATTCTATGGCTGGAGGAGGAGGGGCTGCGGGGGGCCCCACGGGGGGCCCCCAAGGGTGCCTTCTAGGGCCCCCCAGGGCCCTTGGGGGCCCCCGGGGGGCCCCCCCTGAGGGCCCTGGGGGGCCCCTTAAAAGCCCTGTACCCATTAGCGAGTTCGGAGTGGGCCAAATAATTAGCATGCAGTTGAAGGGCTTTATGGCTTTTAAGTCGTCTGTGCAGATCTTCTTCTCCCCCTACACCAACCTCGTACGCCAAGGGTTTAGGGTTTAGGGTTTAGGGTTTAGGGTTTAGGGTTAGGGTTTTGGGTTTGGGGTGTAGGTGGCTTTGACCCTGCACTGCTCAGCCACTGCTACACATCCTTCTCCCTTGGCCCTAGCGGAGCCCTAGGGTTTAGGGTTTAGGGAGTAGCCCTAGGTTTTAGGGTTTAGGGTTTAGGGTTTAGGGTTTAGGGTTTAGGGTTTAGGGTTTGTGCAGATTGCGTCATGTAACGGCGTCGGGAAAAGCACCATTGTATCAGCCATGCACTTTGCGCTGGGCATCCGCAGCACCCGCAGCAGCAGCAGCAGCAGCAGCAGCCGCAGCAGCAGCAGCAGCAGCGCGGCAGCAGCAACGGCGAGGGCGGCGAGCCAGCCACAGCAGCAGCAGCAGCAGCAGCAGCAGCAGCAGCAGCAGCAGCAGCTGCTGCTGCAGTTCTTAACTTATGGAGGCCAGCGGGCCTTCGTTTGCCTCTGGCTGAAGGGAAAAGGAAAAAATGAAATTGTTTCAATTCAAAGAGACTTGGAAAAAGTAAAGAAATTCAAACAATAATAAATAAATAAATAAATAAATAAATAAATAAATAAATAAATAAATAAATAAATAAATAAATTTATAATTTAAAAGGTAAATTAAAATGAAATTTAAAAAAATCAAATAAAAATAAATTAAAAAAAAAATAAATGTGCCAAGCTGCAAGAGCCTCAATTCAGCTGCACGCACAGCCCCCCCACGGTTTAGGGTTTAGGGTTTAGGGTTTAGGGTTTAGGGTTTAGGGTTTAGGGTTTAGGGTTTGCAGGGCCCGAAGGGTTTGCGGAGTCGGTACTTGTTGAACGGAGAAGAGGCGAAGTGGGGCGAGGTGGAGAGACACCAGAAGTTGCTGCTGCTGCGCGCAAATAATTATCTTTGTTTTATGCAGCAGCAAACTGTTTCTTTATTTGGTTCTTTAACTCCCAAAGAGCTGCTTGCAAACACTCTCCAGGTCTGCTGCTGCTGCTGCTGCTGCTGCTGCTGCTGCTGCTGCTGCGGTGCTGCTGCTGCGGTGGCGCTGCGGGGGGCGCGCTGGGGGTGGAGCTGCTGCTGCTGCTGCTGCTGCTGCTGCTGCTGCTGCTTCTGGGTTGCTGCTGCTGTCGCTTTGGGCGCTGCAAAGGGACTGGAGGTTGCCTCCCTGCTGCTGCTGCTGCTGCTCATGCTGCTGCTGCTGCTGCTGCTGCTGCTGCTGTTTGTGTTAGGCAATAAACGAGAAGGATGCGCAGTGTCTGGCGAGTCTGCAGCAGCAGCAGGAGCAGCTGCAGCAGCTGCTTTCCTCGCTGGAGTCCGTTCGTGACCAGTGGTCAGTGCTGCAGCAGCAGCAACGGCAGCTGCTGCAGCAGCAGCAGCAAGTTACTGATTACTACAACCTCAAACGACGCCTCACACTTTGCGAGGGGCGCATTCTGCGCGTACGGCCCTGCTGCTGCTGCTGCTGCTTTTGCTGCTGCTGCTGCTGCTGCTGCTTCTGCTGCTGCTGCTGCTGCTGCTGCTGCTAGAAGCAGGCCCAAACTGCTGCTGGGCAAAAAAGGACCTTTTTTGCTGTTTGTTCTCACCAACCCGCAGCTGTTGCTGCTCTTGTTGCTGCTGCTGCTGCTGCATTCTGGAACAACTGCTGCTTCCTGCTGCTGCTGCTGTTGTTGCTGCTGCTGCAGCTGCTGGCTGAAGAAGCCTACGGGCGCTACAAGACAGCCAAGGGCGAGCTAACTGCTGCTCGTGCTGCAGTTGAGCCGCTGCAGCAGCAGCAGCAAGCAGCAAAAGAGAAACTTGAAAGAAAGAGACAGGAGCTGCAGCAAAGAGAGGAAGCACTTAAGCAGCAGCTGCAAGACGCAGCAAAACACAAACAGGAAGTGCAGCAGCTGATCGAGAAGTTCCACTCCGTAAGACAAGCTGCTGCTGCTGCTGTTCCTGCTGCTGCTGCTGCTGCTGCTGCTGCTGCTTCCCCTACTGTTGACGCCAACGCTGCTGCTGCTTTTATCTCTGCTGCTGTTGCGTCTGACGCTGCTGCTTCTGCTGCTAAACGCCTGCTGATAAAGCTCCTGCTGCTGCTGCTGCTGCTGCTGCTGCTGCTGCTGCTGTTCAGCAGCAGCAAGGGCTAGACGAAGCAGCAGCAGAGCTAGATGCTTACCCGCAGCAGCTGCATGCGCTGCGGCGGCGGCTGCTGCTGCAAAGGGAAAAGGCCCTGGACCCTAAGGCGCAGCAGCTAATGCTCGAGGAGACGCTGCAGCAGCTGCTCAACAATAGGCAGCAGCAGCAGCAGCAGCAGCAGCAGCAGCAGCAGCAGCAGCACCAGAAGGGAGAACCGTCGGCTTCGGTAACAGCCCTTATCCGAGACCCTGAATAATAGCAGCAGGAGAAACACAAGAGCGATGCAGCAGCTAGCTGCAGCTAGCTGCAGCTAGCTGCAGCTAGCCACGTCTAGCAGCAGCTAGTTGCTGCTACTCTACAGCTAGCTGCAGCTAGCTGCTGCTATTATATAGCTAGCTGCAGCTAGCCGCAGCTAGCTGTAGAGAACCGCAGCTGTCTGTAGCTAATTATCCGCAGATCTGTCAAGAGCTGGAGAGTACGTTGGTCGCTGCTGCGCATGCCGTCTCTTGCTGCTGCTGCTGCTGCTGCTGCTGCTGCTGCTGCTGCTGCAGGCGCTGCCGCCTCCCGTGGGGCCTGAGGAGACGGAGCAGCAGCTGCAGCAGCAAAACCGGAAGCTGGCTGAACTGCGGCAGCAGCTGAGCAGCACTTCGCGGCAGCTGCGCAGCACCCGCGGGGCGCTGCAGGAAGCAGGGGACCGTTTGCTGCTGCTGCAGCGGCTGCAGCGGCAGGAGCAGCAGCAGCAGCAGCAGCAGGAGCAGCAGCAGCAGCAGCAGCTGCTGCAGGACCTCACCCGCCTTGAGCTGGGCTACGATGTAGGGACTGTCTCCAGAGGCCTGCAGCTGCTGAAGACCCACAAATTCAAAAGCCAAGTCAAGGGACCTCTAGGCCTTATTGTCAAGGTGCTGCTGCTGCTGCTGCTGCTGCTGCTGCAGTTGCTGCTGCTACTGCTGCGGCGGCGCTGTTGCTGCTGCTGCTGCAGTTGCTGCTGCTACTGCTGCGGCGGCGCTGCTGCTGCTGCAGTTGCTGCTGTTGCTGTTGCACTGCTGCTGTTTCGGCTCATAATGGTGCTGCTGAAGCTTCTGGCTCCGCTGCTGCTGCTGCTGCTGCTAGTTGTGCTGCTGCAGCAGCAGCAAATATACATATTTGCGTTAATATATATACATCTTCATAGTACCCATTTTGTAAATTAACATATTTTAAGGGGATAGATATTTAAATAGACTATTTATGCGTAAATAAATATAGAAATATAAATGAAGAAAAACATGGTTGTTTATAAAATATTTACATCTAAAATATATATATATATATGTAGGTTAAAAATTAAAAAAAATTTAATTTGTTTATATTTATAAATGCATTTGTATATACTTGTACTTATATGTGCATTTAAATTTATTCAAATTTATTTAGATCTGCATGCATTGGCGCATGCACTTATGTATCATTTCATTTAAAGAAATAAAAGAAGTGCATGCATTAATGCATGCAAATTCGCAACTTTTGATGAAATGTTTGCGTCTGCATGCAACAAAGCCATTTGCAATTGTTGAAAAGTGATTTGTTTTGTAAAATGCGGAAATTTGATTTATTTATTCGCTTTTTTGGCCTTTTGAAAGAAAATTCGGCTTTGCTGCTCCCGTGGGGTGTACGTACACCCCACGGGGTGTACGTACACCCTGTGGGGTGTACGCGCACCTCGTGGGGTGTACGTACACCCCACGGATCGTCTTTTCTGCATGCGTGAAGTGCAATTAAATGGACTTTGGTTTTTAAATGGAGTCCTTTTATTGGCAAATATAAAGCATTAAATGCATGCATGCATGCACAAAAAGAGGATTTGATGAAAACAAAATAAGTCGAATTTATTTGCATGCAGGTTTTAATTTGGTATTTTTAAAGTCAAATTCGAGGCCATTTCCGCATGCATGCGCGTAAATGAAAACAAATAAAGTTCATAATATTTTAAATTAATAAAAACAAATTAATGTCATAATAAATAAATAAATAAAAATACTTAAATGACGAATCACATAAGTGGAATGGAAGTACACAGAAGCGTGGGGTGTATATACACCGCACAAACGCGGCCACACACATTTTCGCTGCTGCTGCAGCTGCTGCAGCAAACGGGAAGCAGCAGCTGCAGCAGCTGCTGCAGCTGCTGCAGCTGCTGTTTGCTGCAGCTGCTGCAGCTGCAGCAAACGGGCGACAGCAGCGCAGCACTTGACAGCAAAGGGAGACAGAAAAAGAAAGGCTTATTTATTAATTAATTAATTAATTAATTTATTTATTTATTTATTTATTTATTTATTTATTTATTTATTTATTTATTTATTTATTTACTTGTTTTGCATGCAGGTTCGAGACAGCAGCATGCAAGCCGTTGCTGCTCATTTCTTGCGCAGCAAACTTCTCAGCTTTTTGTGTCTTGACGCTTCGGAGGACTTTCGAGTTCTTTCTCGAGCAAACGTCAGGTGCTTTTGCCTCGACCCTGCTGCTGCTGCTGCTGCTGCTGCTGCTCCGGGCGCAGCAGCAGCAGCAGCAGCAGCAGCAGCGCGGAGACCCCACATGACGCAGGCCCTGCATGCAGCGGGGGTTTTGGGATTTCTGGCGGATTACCTCGAAGTCCCTGAGGGTTTTGAAAGTACCTTTAATGAGTACACGAGGGCCCACTTGTGTCTGGTGTGCAGCAGCAGCCTGACGGAGCAGCAGGAGCAGCAAATGCAGCAAGCAGCAGCAGCAGAGCTGCAGCAGCAGCGCTTCAGCGCACAAGAAATTGTTTACTATTTGGGGCTGCATGCACACCGCCTCAAAAGAAGCAGCTATGCTGCTGCAGGTTTTGTGCATTCTGTGGTGGCGGTGCCCCGGCGGCCGCCGGTGCTGCTGCTGCAGCAGCAGCAGCAGCAGCAGCAGCAGCAGCAGCAGCAGCAGGTGCTGCAGCAGGAGCAGAAAATCAAGAAACTCAGGGACTCCGAGCAGCAGCTCGAGGCGCAGCAAAGGGCCCTTGAGGAACAAGAAGCAGCAGAAAGAGACAAGAGGGATCTGCTGCGGCTGCAGCAGCACGAGCAGCAGCAGCAGCGGGAAGAGGAGCTGCGGCTGCGCGAGCGCATTGCTGCAGCAGCAGCAGCAGCAGCAGCAGAGCAGCAGCGCTGCTCTGCCTTAGCAGCAGAACTTGCTGCAGCGCCCTCCATAAGGGAGACACTCTGCAGCAGCAAACAGAAGCAGCTCGAGACCATGCAGCAGCAGCTGCTGCTGCTAATAACTGCAGCGCAGCAGATAAGCAGCAGCCAGCTGCTGCTGCAGCCCCTAAAGGCAGCAGCAGCAGATATAAAAAAAGCAAAAAAAAATATTCAGAAGGACGAGCAAAAGCTCCTAGAGCAACAAACAAAAGTAACGCAAACCCTAAACCCTAAACCCTAAGCCCTAGTCCACGCAAACCCTAAACCCTCAACCCTAGGCCCCAAACCCTAGCTTTTGCAAACCCTAGCCATCAATCCAGCGTACGTAAAACCTAAACCCTAAACCCTCGCCTGCGCAAACCCTAGGCCCTCCTTTGCAAAGCCTAAACCCTAGTCCTGTGCGTTGTGGGCCCGGGCGGGCAAGGAGCGTTTAGGGTTTAGGGTTTAGGGTCTAGGGTTTAGGGTTTAGGGTTTAGAGCTAGGGTTTATCGGCTGCAAAGGCAAAGGAGGGTTTCTGGCGGGGGTTTAGAGTTTGCTGCTGATGCGAAGACCTTTCTGCCAAGTGCCAGTCCTTAGGGTCTGCGGCTTAAAGATCAAGGCCCAGAGTTTAGGGTTCAGGGTTTAGGGTTTAGGGTTTAGGGTTTAGGGTTTAGGGTTTAGGGTTTAGGGTTTTAGGGTTTAGGGTTTAGGGTTTAGGGTTTAGGGTTTTAGGGTTTAGGGTTTAGGGTTTAGGGTTTAGGGTTTAGACCACTGCGAGAATAGTGACTGCGAAGGCCTCCAGGTGGCGCTTCACGAGGGGCAGTTTGGAAGACAGCGCAGCCAAACGTGGCGCGGTACTACGCGGACGCGAACGTAAACCGCCCGAGGCAGTATTGGGATTATTTAGGGTTTAGGGTTTAGGGTTTAGGGTTTTAGGGTTTAGGGTTTAGGGTTTAGGGTTTAGGGTTTAGGGGGGTTTAGGGTTTAGGGTTTAGGGTTTAGGGTTTAGGGTTTAGGGTTTAGGGTTTAGGGTTTAGGGTTTATGCAGGGCGCGGGAAACACCCCCGCGTTGGTGAACAGTTTGTTGACTTCGCTGTGCAACATTTCGCCCTTCTTTAGGGTTTAGGGTTTAGGGTTTAGGGTTTTAGGGTTTAGG